GAGATATGGGATAGGGGGGAGGGACGGATGGGGAGAGGTGGGATGAATTGGCGATAGCAGCAGCGGAGATATTTAGGAGACGGGGGGGGGTGATAAGAGGAGAGAGGAGATATGGATGAGGTGGAAAGGACAATCGGAGAGAGCAGGGGATACATGGGAGAGAGGAGAGGAGAGGGGATGTATGGGGGATGGGAGAGAGTTGGCATCGGGGACATGTGGTATAGAGTGCAGAAATGGGAGAGAGGAGGAGTGAAGGGAGAGAGGATGAGAGCGGAGAGATGCGAGCGGATATACACTGTAAGTGGAGGATTTGATAGAGAGGAAAAAGGAGGTGTTGGAAAGATGGAAGATCTTAGAGAGAGGAGAGGAGGAGAAGAGTTATGGGAGGGGGTAGGGTGGAGGAGGCGGGGGGGGGGACTCTTGGAGAGAAGGATGATGATGGATGTGGAGCCGTCGTACTGAGCCCTGAAATCGGTTCGGTACGAGGAGCGGACGACTCCTCGCGGGAGTGGAGGGTGATGGGTGACCCCTCGCGGGGGCCTCGTGTATGATCCAGCACCCAGCATTCACCACCGCCCATTGCGCGGCAAACTCGCAACCTCGGGGAGACAAAGGTGGCCGGCGCACCGTGCTCGCCACACCATCGCCTTCTTCGCACCACTCTGGTGACGATGGCGGTGACGAAAGTGGCGACGGTGACGGTGAGTCTTCACGGCACGCAGCGAGGCCATGCATTACCCAACCGCTGTGACCTCTCCATGTATTGTGAAGTAGGCCCCCTTGCCCGAAACGTCGCCTTAATTTATTATTAATTTGAGTCTAATTCATTATTAACGTTAAGGTTACACACAGACGGAGTTATTTTTTGTTAATTGTGCTCATTCACCGCTGCCAACGTAGTCGCATTATCTAGTCATGCATTTAACATTTTACCCTTTAATGGGGTAAGTGCTGTTAGCGAGAACCTCTTAAGGACGGCACGGGCCGCCTTTGTCTCCCCAGTGCTGGTGCTTAATACACACCGCAACAGGTTACCGTTTTAGGCTGAGTTGACCCAGGGGAGGCTCGGAACGGGTTCAAATATTTACCACTGTTCTTTGGTCGTGAGTGGGAATCGAACTTGGGCCACCGGGTTCATGCTAGCCACTACATGAACAAATACACCAACAAACTTGCGGTTTCGTCACCACGATAGCTTGTGCCAGGCTAGGTGCACCTTGAGGACGTCACGTGAAGTGTCGAAGCCTGGCAGGGGGTCACGGGACAGACCCAGCAGATGCCGTGGGTTGACTGACCGAGATGACTGACATATACACCACCTGTGCTCCCTACTGTACCAGGCTATGTGCAGGAGGTTTCGGAACAGATGCCGTGGGTTGACTGACCGAGATGACTGACAGATGCACCACCTGTGCCCCCCCCCCCCCCCCCCCCCCCCCGCTGTGCCACCTCGTTGCGTCTCATCCGCCCGGCTCTCCGCCCGTTGTTGTGAGCGTCGCTCCTTCCGCCCGCTCCGCCGCCGTTTCCGGAGGGCAGCTGCCTACGATTGCATCCCATTTCCCAGCCGCCTCTACGCGTGCACCAAGCCTGGCACTGCCCACTAGCACCTTTGAACGAGGGCGAGGCTCGTGAAGGGCACGCGCATAACCGCTCTTGCATCGCGAGCTGTAAAGTCTGAAGGCAGCTGGCGACAGAGCAATGCGAGTGTCTTAACGCGCACAGTATTCTCACACCCCCACCCCCAAACCCCACTCCATTAGCCCCCCACCTCGCCCAGCACGGCCTCCTGCACAACGGAGCAATTAAAAATCTTCGCACGATCCTCACATCTCAGTAAAGTGAACGCGGGACGCTGGACGCTGGACGCTGGGAGCCAGACGTCTTGGGGCACCCAACGTCCCAACGCTCCGAGGAGCCGTCGTGACGAGTTTGGATTTTGATGCCGGGTTTTGATCCTGGGTTTTTTTTAACTCCAGGTTACGATTCCGGAATATTTTTTTTTATTCCCTATTTCAATCCCGAGTTTTGATTGCGGGTTTTTTTTTCACGAGGTTTTGCTTCCGTGTTTTGATCCTCGGTTTTGACTCCAGGTAACGATTCCGGAATATTTTTTTTTTATTTTCTAATTTAATCCCAGGTTTTGATTCCGGAATTCTTTCCCCCCCCCCTCCCCGGGGGGTTCGATTCCGTGTTTTGATCCTGATTTTTGACTCCAGGTTACCATCCCGGAATGTGTTATTCCCTATTTTAATCCCGAGTTTAGATTCCGGTTTTTTTGCGGGATTTTTGATCCCGGGTTACGATTCCGCGTTTTTGATTCCGGATTTTGATCCCGGGTTTGTTTTATTCATTCTGGAATTTTATTCTACTGCAAGCAGAAGGGCCGCCACGCAGCGCTGAGTACGGGAGAGCAACCCTCTCTGCAAGGAATGTTGGCCGAACGTCTTGGGAGACGTGGGAGTTACCCACACGTTTTTCCCAGCACACACGAACTTCCGACTTACTGTGATATATATATACACGGGGTGCTTCAACATTTTTCATGGAAAAATAACGGATAATAAATGTATGTTGATAGCTTCAAAAATTCCAGGGGTCTCCCCACTTGTTCGCCATCGTTGTCAACGCGTGCCTGGAATCGTCTCCAGGTGGTCTCCAGAGCCTGGAGGGCACGTTTCTTGTGGTGGTGTTGTTGCAAATTCTCAGAAGTGTTGAACACACTTTTTTTTCAAGCACCCCGTACATAACCCATTTACGCCGATGGGCGAGCCAGAGGCGATGGTGGGTTTGAGAAGGACATACAAAACAAAAAACCATAGCCTCACATTTTCTTTTTTGAACGGGAATCCGACATCAGGTCCAGTTCCACTGACCATCACAGCTCACGCGGATGCCCCTCAGGGGATTGTCACACGCCTCGCAAGATCGTAAGAGACGGTGCTGATTTGCCGGGGACCTCATCCAGCAGTAAAATCGACTGCAGCTGCTGCCGACGATGATGCTGATGATGATTGTGGTGGGGACATGCAATTGTAGCCATTGATGCAATTGAGAGCTCCAGTATCTATCCACTGCTGGATAAAACTACGGGGTAAGTTTATTCAATGTCACCAGCCTCCCCCTCGCAAGCCTGGCAGCCTCTGTCCACTCAGTGGTGGAAATGGGTCCATCAGCGACAGTTCAGCGATGGGCCAGATCGCGTCCGGTGGGGGTAAGTGTGGGTACTCCGAAATCTTCCACGACGGCTATCGTCGCAGTGGTATGAAATACCAGTTGCATCGCACGCGTGCGTGTGTAGTTTGTGGATTTTGGCAATGGGAACAAAGATGATAGCCCTGAGAAAAGCGATGCAAGAACTGGGGGAGAGGATACAACACTTCACACTGAGACAAAGACCCCCCCCCCCCCCGTTGGGTCCAAGTGCTGTTAGCGAGCACCACGCACTCACACGCCCACTTGCAGAACAGGGGGAGAAAATACAAACTCCGAAGACAAAGATCCCCCATATAGCCATGACAGACTGTTGGGGCAAGTGCTGTTAGGGAGCACCTATGAAGGCCGAAACAGCAAACGAGGGGTGGGTGGCCAAAACCACGCCCGGCCGCCTTTGTCTTCCCAGTGGCAATGTTAACACACCGCACCAGGTATTCATTTAAGTCTCAGCTGATCTAGGGGAGGCCCAAGACCGGTTCAGATGATCATCACCGGTGTTGGTGGCCGTGAGCGGGAATCAAACCCGGGTCTCCAGGTTCGTAGCGTAGCGTGCTAACCGCCCGCGCCACCACTCAAAAGAAGCAGCAACCTCCGATCGCAATTTTTTTTTTCTTTACAACAAAGCACTCCGCTACCGCGAAGCTATTCGCTCCGCTCACAATTCATTCCTTTCGACGCCGATTCCCCATTCAACAAAAGCGCCCGGTGGTGAAACGAATAACTTACCGGTGATGGTGCTGCTGCATCTGGACGGGAAGCGGGGCACAGAGTTCCGTCCGCGATACGTGCCGAGCGATTTGGTTTATGCCGCCAAAGTGGCGGTCGGTCACTCGTTGAAAAGTCTCCTCTCTTTGTTCGCCGTTACTTTTGTCATGCGATCGACTTTTCGATCCCATCTCCCCAGTTGGAACTATGGGGGTTACGTTTATTTCCGGGGGTTGGGTGGCGGGGGGCGCCACGGTGGCTAGGAGATGTTAACCGCCTCGCCTGGTGTGCAGGAGGTCGAAGGGTTCGATCTCGACCTTGACGCCCGCATTGTATTTGGAGTTTGCGGTGTCTCTCTGTCTCTCATCATCATCACGGTGGCTAGGAGATGTTAACTACCTCGCCTAGTGTGCAGGAGGGCGTGGGTTCGATCTCGACCCTGACGCCTGCTGCTGTATATTTGGAGTTTGCGGTGTCTCTCTCCCTCTCTCTCTCTCTCATCATCATCACGGTGGCTAGGAGATGTTAACTACCTCGCCCGTTATACAGGAGGTTCGATCTCGACCCTGACGCCTGCTGCTGTGTATTTGGAGTTTGCGTGTCTGTCTCTCTCTCTCTCCATGGTCCCGTGGATTTTTCCCGGGGTCCTCCGTTTTTTTCCCGTCCACATTTAGAATCAACATCACACGTTTAGAGTTAATTGGCTGCTTTACATCTCCACGTGATGCTGCTAAGCCACTTTGTCAAACTGTCATTGCGATAGCAAGCTGGTAAAAATAAGCAAATAAAAAAAACTATCAATAGTATTTTCGAGACGTCCCCCCAGCGTGGAAAAGTAACCTCGCGAGATGCCTCCTTGGCTGGAGGGCCTTCCACCAGCGGCGAGCAATTGCAGGGCTGCACCTGTGTCCTCTGCCGGAGGGGTAGACGTTTAATATTTGACGGGTTAAAAGGGTTGGCGTTAAGGGTTAGTGGTAAGGAGAGACATGGAGAAACGAGACTCGCGTTGTGCTCCCCAAAAATTACAATCGTATTCATTTACAATTTGTTCACCGCCCTACCCCCCACCTCACCCCACCCAGGCACGTACCGCGCGTCGGTGAGCGAGGCGGCGGTGCCGGGCACGACGGTGGGGCGCGTGCGGGCGCAGGACGCGGACGAGGGCGACAACGCGAGGGTGGACTACCGCATCGTGGCCGGGGACAGGGCCGGGGCCTTCTCCATCGCCACCGACCCCTCCACGCAGGACGGGGTCGTGACCCTCGCTCAGGTGAGGGGGGGGGGGTGTGTGATGATGACGCGGGGCGGTGACGGCGACGCGGAGTAATTACGCAAGCGTGATGACGACGTGGGGTAATGATGCGGGGTAGTGATGCTGGTGGTGATGGTGAAGGGGCGTGAGAGTGAATGGAGGTGGCGTCGGTAAACGGATCCAATCGTGCTGTCAGAGGTCTGTTGGCAACATCGCGTCGTAGGTCGACGCTGAGGTTTACCGTCGGTGAAAGTTGCAGGGAACCCAGTGTACGGGTCCTCCGTAACGGTCCGCACGACATCGGCGTTACACCTCCGATTAGCACGTTTGGCTACATACGGTGCGAAAGTAGTTTGTGTACATACATGTTGTGTGTATGTTGAGCTTCTTACGCACCGTACATAGCCAACCGTGTTAATCCGTGCTAATCAGAGGCGCGGCTTCAATCCCCCTACCCACGTGACCGGGAGCAACCCCCTCCCCAATGCAATTTCATATTACGTTGTAGTAGACCAATGCTGATTATACTGCTGCTGATGAAGTTGCTGCTGCATCATCGGCTGCCACAGATGATGGTGTTGATGATAATAATGATGACGGTGTTGAGACTTGGCTTGTGACGGTGCCCTGGCGATCCGAGATTCCCGCTTTGATACAACAAAAGAAAATCCAACTCCTCCCCACTATCGCTCGCCTCTCCGAGACATCATTCCTGCCGCTAATTAACTCGCGAGCCAGAGATGCCGACCTCGCTAATTGCCAATTAAGACTTCCGAGCACCACACAGACGTGCACACACACGCAGACACACACACACGCGCGCACACACACACATGCACGCAGACACACACACATGCGTACGAACACGTGTGCGCACACGGATACACACAAAGACAAAAAAACAAAGCTCACCTTATAGCCTTAACAGACTGTGGGGGGCAAGTGCTGTTAGCGAGCACCAATGAGGGCCGGTGTGGCACACGATGGAGTGGGAAGCTAGCACCACGCCCGACCGCCTTTGTATCCCGAGTGGCGATGTCTACACACCGCACCAGCTACTAATTCGAGGCTGATTCGACTTAGGCGAGGCCCAGAACCGATTCAGATAATCGTCACCGGTACTGACCGTGAGCGGGAATCGAACTCAGGTCTCCGGGATCTTTTATAGCGCAGCGCTCTAACCGCTACACCACCGCTCCACGCATACGCACACACACACACACAAAACGCACGCACACACGCACGCAGGCTCTTCAAAGGCGACGCAGAGTACATTACACGCACTGAAGGGGCGTCTCAGTAGCAACAATGGGGTTGAGTTTCTTCCGGTGGGGCACGGTGGCTCGGAGATGTTAACTGCCTCGCCTGGTTCGCAGGAGATCGTGGGTTCAATCTCGACGCCTGACGCCTGCTGCTGTTTATTTAAAGTCTCTTTCTTTCCCCATCGTCGCGTGGATTTTTCTCCGGCTCCTCGGGTTTTCCCCTCCACATTTAAAATGAACATTCGTTCAGAGTATTTGGCTGCTGTAAATGTCCACGTGATGATGATGATGATACGCCACTTTGTTGAGTCATCATTTGTAATGGCGAGATCGCTTCTGGAAGAAAGCTATATAGCTCAGTGGGACTTAACTCGTAAAATGAAAAAAAAAAGATTAGTTTTTAATGGTAAATGTGGTGATGTCTCCGACGTGCCCGCTACGAACATTCATCTCGTTCCTGTGCTCCTCCGTGCTGTCGCCAAGTACCATTCCCAGCTTGCGCATCTCTCTGCTCCGGCGGGAATTTTGATATCGGCACGTGTCCGTGAATAAAAGGGCATCAATGTTATCTTCATGATGCCCCGGCACACAGCATCCAGTATACCTCTCCAAAATACCCGTGGTCACTATAGCCACGTGTCACCCACGCTCGTAAACCAGAGACACCCCAGAAATGGTTCTATTCCCCGGCACACACCATACAGTATACCTATCCCCTTATGCCCGCGGCGATTCGTCTACTCCGGTACATATTCCTCGTATGCCAGTGTAGAGCGAGTGGCTCGCATTCGGAAGGTTGTGAGTTCAACTCCAGGTTCTGTTGGGGGAGGGGGGGGGGGGGGGGGGGGCGGGGATGGGAGATGGAGGAGGAGGGGAGTGGTGGTGGTGGTTGATTCAGCGCCATCAACGATAGAATTTGGCACCGTTTTTGGGGGGCCGGGGTTGAGGGGGGAAGTCAACAACAACAACAGCAACTGTCTTGCGGATGTACTCGGCCCCCTGCCATGGGAACGTGACATTTCCCACCACTCTCCCGACACGGCTCGATGTGCACCAACGCCTCTCTCTCTCTCTCCACCATCGCGTCGTGAGCCGGAATCACTCCGAGAGATGAACTCGGCTTAGTCACGCGGCGAAGCAGGCGGTACTGGGAACGGGTTAATCTTGTTCGGGGTGGCAGGGTTAATACTGATTAGGGGGGTGGGGGTGGGGGGCACGGACGCCACTATGGCTATTGACGTGACCAAGGTTAACCGACTTGTGCTCATTTTACGGTTCTACATGCTCATGGAGGTTAAACGGCCGTCGGATGGTTACAGCGGCTGTGGACTGCGTTCAGGGTTAATGGGATGAGTGCTCCCATTGTTATTGTGCTTGTGCAGTAGATTTAGAGCCACTGGGATGACCTGAATATTATTGGGGTTGGGGGCCGAGGGGGGGGGGGGGGCATGGGAGAAGGTTGATGGGCGGGTGGGTGCGGAATGTTCCAGAGATGATCTCAGTGGTACCTGCACTGGCGGTGTTTGTATGTTATTGGTGCGGCGAGCGGTTAAGCAGCTGCTGGGGTTGATGGATCGGGCGGGGATTGACGAATGTGTGTGGTGATGATGCTGTTCATGATATTACAATCCTATGATTATGGTGGCTTTAGTATGAGATGATATCGCTGCTGCTGATGATTATGGTCACGGGCTTGTTGATTCTGCTGTTGATGGTGATGATGCTGCTGCTACTTTTGATGATGATACTAATGATGATGATCATCAGCTGGGTATGCACCGACCAATTAAAGTCAGGCTACTGTGCTTCGAATACATTTGCATTCGAAGGATGGTAGTATTTTCATGGCAAGATATAGGGTAAGAAACTTGACGGTTGGGAGTAGCAATTGAAGGTGACGATTAGTGGGTCACGTGGTGTAGGATGGAGGAGGAGGATAGGGTAAGCAACTTGGAGGAGGAGGTTGTGATGGGTGAGACACGTGATGCAGGGTGGAGGAGGACGATAGGGTAAGCAACTTGGAGGAGGAGGAGGACGTGATGGGTGAGACGCGTGGTGCAGGGTGAAGGAGGAGGATAGGGTAAGCAACTTGGAGGAGGATGTGATGGGTGGGACACGTGGTGCAGGGTGAATATGGATGATAGGGTAAGCAACTTGGAGGAGGAGGAGGATGTGATGGGTGGGACACGTGGTGCAGGGTGAAGGAGGAGGAAGAGGAGGACGACGAGGAGGATGAGTGTGGGTGGTATTGGAGGGGCACCCTCAGCATTGCCCTAACGAGCAGCCAGGGAACGTAGTCGCCGAGTCTCTGTTACGAGCAATCGGAGCACTCGCTCCGCTCGGTTTTTCCCCGACACCTCGTTACTGTTATTATTATTATTATTGTTATCATTATTATTGTTATTATTGTTGTGTTTTTTTTTACTCGTTCCTCCCGCGCGCGCGCCCACGCGCCCGCGCGCCCGCGCGCGAGCCGGGACAATAAAATTGAGCGAGGTTAATTCGAAAGAAGCGAACAAATTGCCGGGCAAAAGTCGATAATCGCTTGGAATTCAGCACCCCCGCCACCCCTCCCCTCCCCAAAACGCACCCCCCCCTTCCCCCCCACCCCGCCCCCCTTCCCCCCACCCCGCCCCCCCTTCCCCCCCATCTCCCCCGCCTGCCACCCCCATCTCTCTCCCTGCCTCTCACTCGCTGTGTGTAAACTCGTGTGGGGCGCGTGTGTGTGTGTCGCAATTCGTTTAACCTTTACGGAGGAGGGATACTTAGGCGGCGCTTTGGACGCGGAGTTTTGATGTTTCTTTCATGTTTATTAGATACGTTATACGGCGAACGGGGAAATAACTATATTATTAATTTCGATTGCAACTCAGAAAAAAATATAAAAATGATCGTTTGCGTGCGGCCGTGTGCTCTACTTGCAGGATCACATACTTAAAAGACAAAGATCCCCCGTATAGCCTCAACAAACTGTTGGGGCGAGTGCTGTTAGCGAGCTCCTATGAAGGCTGGCACTGTATGAGAGGAGGTGGTTGGCTAGAACCACACCCGGCCGCCTTTGTCTCCCCGGTGGTGATGCTTACACATAGCACCAGGTTATCATTTGGGGCTGAGTCGACCCGGTTCAGATAATCATCACTGGTGTTGGCCGTTAACGGGAATCGAACACGGCTCTCTGCCCGGTGCGTAGCGCTAACCACTGCACTACCGCTCCCCACTTACAACAACAGCCGCCACTCGTCACTAAGTGACGGTGACGTCACCACGGCGCCTGTGCCAGGCAAGGTGCGCTTTAAGGCCACGTGATGTGTCGAACGCTCGCTGGCAGGAGGTCACGGGGCAGACCCAGGTACCATGGGTCGAGTGACTGAGATGACTGGCCGATGCACCACCTGTGCCCCCTCCCCCCCCCTACTGTGCCAACCTGCCGCACTTTAACCACCGGGCGTTCCGCGCGCTGTTGTGAGTGTCGCTCTTCTACCCGCCGCAGTCGTTGGAGGGCGACCGCCTCCAACGGCCCAGTAGAGAGTCCTTCACGAACCTCATCCTTTACGAGCCTCCTCCTTCACGAGCCTCCTCCTTCACGAGCCTCCTCCTTCACGAGCCTCCTCCTTCACGAGCCTCATCCTTCACGAGCCTCCTCCTTCACGAGCCTCATCCTTTACGAGCCTCCTCCTTCACGAGCCTCATCCTTCACGAGCCTCATCCTTCACGAGCCTCATCCTTCACGAGCCTCATCCTTCAAGAGCCTCCTCC